TTCTCACTAAATTCATAAGGAGCAGGGGAAATTTCCGTGGTAACATACTGACAGCTAACAGCTTGACAAGGAGAGACTATCATTCTGTCCTTGTCTCTCTTACATCGCATATGTAGTAACATCCATGTAGACACAAACACTAATGCGTTGAACGAATGCGATTATTGGGAGATATCAGCAAGAACCGATTTTCGTATTATCATTGTTTCTCTGTATATGTATATTATATGTAAAAGAACAATAAGAATAGCAATAATTCTTGCCTAACATTATCTTCCAATTATCGTTTCGTGTACGCAATATATATTTCACATTATGCATCTGTAACAAATAATCGAATGATTTATTTAAATATTTGCATATAATCTATATAAATCTATATAATAAATAAAATGTGTAATAAATTATCGAATGATTTATTTAAATATTTGCATATAATCTATGTAAATAAAATATGTACAAATAAAATAATATTTATGCAAATATTATTTTATTTGTGTACATATTTTATTTATATACCCAAACAACACCAAGTCCAAAATTGGCGCGTAAGATATCTTTATAAGATGTCTTTTTGATATCATATCATAAGATAGCTGTCTTAAAGATTTCTTAATGCTATCTTATGCGTCAATTTTAGACTTGGTGCTGTCTGGGTAGATAATATGCAAATTAATATGTTTATATATATGCACACACATAGATATGACAATAGCGTTATCGTGATTTTTTCGATTATTAAAGTTGTATTGTATAATCTCTCTCTTATCTCTTTCTCTCTGCTACATACCCATACAGCACAGAAACTTTTCAGAAATATTTCAAAAATATTTCATGTGACAGATTGAAACATTTCATAAATATTGCGAAATGTTTCTGCAACAACTTTGAGACAACTCTGAAATAGCAAAATGTCCGCGATTCTTGCACTTGAAACCTTATAGAAACCTTATTGAAACCTTATAAAAAGTTTGCTGAAAGGTTACTAATAAATCTGCAACTTTTCTGAAATATTCTTAAAAGGTTACTGAAATGATTGAACCGTTTCTGAAATATTGCTGAAAACTATTTTAAATAATTCTGAAAATTTTTTATAATATTGCAAACATGGCTGCTTTCGCGACAAAATTAAAATATGATCCAGATTAAAATGATCCTGCACTGGGATTGTTCAAATCTGAAATTTCATTGAATACAATTTCAATGAGATTCCATGAAATTTCAGATTTCACTAATCACAGTGCAGAATCATTTTAATCTGAATTATATTATTTTGATTTTGTCGCAAAAGCAGCCCATATTACAAAACTGTTATTCAAATAAAAAAATATATATTTCAGAAATAATATTTAAATTTATTATATTTATTGCACACAAATATACGACAAAATTTACACTAAAAAGAGTATAAAAAATATATCTAACGTTGTACATTTTTTTAGCTCAGTGTTGCAATTTTTTGTCAATGATTCTCACTAAAAGGTCGAATGTTAGATCTCTAGGATATATATAAATTCTACTTATAATAATATGGTATTTTAGCTTTAGGATATAGAAGAAACATATTTATAATTTTTATTAAATTTTTATTTGAGTAGTATATTGTTTTAATAGTTGAATCGTTACATAAAATAAAAATAGTTATCACATAAAATAAAAACTTTTTTACAATAAAGTAAAAATTTGAATTCCATTTGGATAACATTGTTTATTGTTATTCTAATAACATAATTAAAACTTCCAACAATTTTTGAATAAATTTTAAGTGAACTTGCTAAACTCTAATTATATTTATTTGATAATTTTAACTTTCTTCTAAAAAAAATAAACTTTCAAACAAAATTCTCAAACATAAAATAAACTTTTTTCTAAATAAAAAAATAGTATTTTACTATAATATAAATCAAACATTATGCAAAATAACATTTGAATTTTGTTTGAATAATATATTATTTGTTCAGGTAATACAATATAAATTTTTAGAACACAAAGTAACTTCTTTTTTAAATTAAAAAGCAAAGTTAAAAGCGAAACATTTATTCCGATGGCTGTTCTTTTTGTTTTCGTTGTAATCGTTCTCTGAATAAATACAACGATTAATAAGTACTGTAATATATATATACATTTATAAATAATCTCACTTTTCATTAATAATATTTACTTACTCATCTCTGTCATGACGTAATTTGCCCTGGATGAACCATTTAGAGATGACTTCGATAATTTGTTTGTCATCCGTTTCGAATTTTGCATGAACACATTCTAGATAAACAAGGAAATTTATTTTATTAATATAGAGATTACCTTTTGTTCAAAATTATATTATTGAAAATATTGCGTGCTTACATATAAAATAATTATTTAATTATATTGATACAATATAATGAAATAATTATTTTATTTATTTTGAAAAACGAGAAATTAGTAGTTTAAATATTAACATACTTTTTATGCATTTAGTTAACAATAAATCTTTGAAAGGCTCTTTCTTCATACTTTTTCCATTCCAGCAATATAACGTTGAAAGATGATTACTAATAAAATTTTTGAGAATAACAATTATCATGTCATGAGACGTTTTATGTAATATATAGAGTATATAAAGGAAATTATTAAAAATCTGTACTTACACATGTAACCTCAAAATTCAAGAACAAACAAAAATTAAAATTAGACAAATTCATCATATGTAAAATGAAAATAGTTTAAATAATGACAAATATACAGAGTAAAATTATGTAGAAAAGCATGCACCGGTTAAAAGTATCCAAAAATATACATGTTAAAATGCAGTTATAACCTCTTTTTTCGGTACTTTGAAACATTAATCATGAAAATAATACCTTGAAAGTTTTATGTCTGATTTCGAATTCTATCAAATAAGTAGATATTATTCCTTTATAAAACTTTACTATTTATTAGAACCAGTAGACAGTAGTGCTATCATAGCAGTCCAAGTCTATGCGGTTTAGCAAGCTGTTCTTGTCGTTGCCTGCATTCCACATCCGGAACCTAAAAAGCGGGAAAGAATTTGATTGGTTGTTCCTATATATATATATATACATTAATATACATTTAATCTGTCCAATAAAAGATATGAAAATAAATTTTTATAATACATACCGTCGACTATTTTGATTGATTTGTTATATAATATATATATGTATATACACTTATAATCACTATATTAAAAAATCGTTCCAGTTTTCAAAATTATTTCATATGAAAACTTTTTGCAACACTCATATTAATTTTTCAAATTTACCACATGTAATAGATTTCAGAAACATTTCTGTTGCAACATTTCATATGACATATTGCAGAATTCTGTCAGAAATGTTGCACATGAAATGTGAAACATTGAAATGATTTTGAAATATTTCTGAAAGCTTTCTGTAACAATCGGTGCTATATGGGTAAATACTATTATAATGTAAAAGAACTTACGAGTAACGTATGATGGCTCAATGCAATAATATTCAATCACGTAAAAAACTTGAGTTCAAATATATCAATATCAATTTTTTTACAATATATTAGAATATAGAAAAATTATAGAAATATAAGGCGATAAACTTGAAAATTTTAAATATTGAAAATATTTTAATCATTTTTACAATTACATACACTATATATATATATATATATATATATATATATATATATATATATAAATGCAAAATAAGTCCGTAAATAAATTTATCAAGTAATAAATCCGTTGCATGCTCGCAGCTACATATGCACACACAAATAGCTGGTATGTTGATTTTTATTAAAAATTTATTTTCTGTATTATTTTGCATTTATATAGTGTGTATGTGGGTGTGTGTGTGTGTGTGTGTGTGTGTGTGTGTGTGCGCGCGCGCGCGCGCGTGTAGTAAAAATATTTTCAATATATTTATAAAATTTTTATTGCTGAAATATATTTTTTTATCATTTCTCTGTATTCCAATATATTATTAAAAAATTGATATTGATATATTTGAACTCTAATAATTTACTGGGTGATACATACTGAACATCCTTTGCATTGATCAATATTACTCGACATAAGTTCTTTTATGTTATAAGTATTTATGGAGCAAATTATACAATAACATCAATAATAGAAAGAAATCAAGAATAACCAACGCATATTCGTCAATCTATGATTGCTATACAAGCTAATAATAATTTATATTCGTTCTCTTATTCTTGTCTCTCGAAAAAGTATAAGCAATAAATTATCAAACCTAACAAGTACCCGTGTCTAACATTGTAGACTAATTTACTTTCAATTATGCTACTGTTATTATTTATCATTAGACAATTATAAAACATATATATATATAGCACTACAAATTATATATGTATATGTTTTATAATTTATTTTATATTTTATTATTTGACAAGTTAAATCTCTCCGAATCATAATTTGCGCTTACATCTTAAAGACGAAATGCTGTAACTCTCTGATATTCCAATCTGTATTTTTGAAAAGGACCACATCCCGTATGGTCGAAATGTTAAAATAAATATATATACAACTTTAATTTGAGGCCAGTGTAGTCAGACCAAATCTATAACCTCTGTTTTATAATTGTCTAATGATAAATAATAACAGTAGCATATATAATTGAGAGTAAATTAGTATATTTTATATATATATATATTTATATATAAATAATATATCCACATATGTGCATAAGCATATATAAAATTTACAAAAATGGGTGCTTATTAGTCTTGCTACGTTACTGCTTTCTGCTACGGAAGGCCAGAAAGCATTTTTAGGCGGCATCTCACGTATACCGGCACGGTAGAGGAACAAGGAGAACACGTGATTATCGGTCCTTGTCTCTCTTACGTGCGTCCGCGTGAGCGATGCAGTGGTGTATGTACGTGTACAGACATACACCACTACATAAAACCCGAGAATTGATTTCTCGGCGTTGGCAACACTGAAACCGGAGTTTCGCGTTGTCACCGCACGAGGTCTCCAATATCAATTCGGAGTTTGCCTGGGTGTACTGCCGACCCTTAATCTGTGTCTTAGATAAGATAAACTACGAATACAAAACTGCGTTTTATTGCCATAAAGGAAGGAAGGAAGAAGAAGAAGAAGAGATATAATTCTTTGACTTAGAAACGCTTTCTAAAAAAATTGAAAAAGGTTATCTACAAAAATATATTGAAGAATATAAAGGAAAAGTGTGAATAAACATTTAGAAAAAAAGGAAGCTAGTATTTTATAAACTAATAAACTAAATAGCTATTTATTATTATTTGTTGATATTTCTTATGTATTTCGAAAATACTTGTGATAAAAAATGTTATATTGAATCCCACACAAGATTAAAAAAATATGAAAAAAAGTAGCAGGAAAATAAGATAAGTTTAGTCTCATGCATTATATAAACAAAAGAAAGATGTCGGAACAAGGAGCAATATTGGAATTAAATAAATGCATTTTATCTCGATTGTGGTATACATCTCTAAATGTTCTTCAAATAAACAATGACAATAATGCATCGAAAGAATTTTATCACAATTGTTGCATTGACTTGACAGAACTGAAAGCTGTCATTGAAAACTTGATGTGAGTTAAAAATTTTCTTTTACCAATTATGTATATAATTTCTTTTATTATATTTATATTATATTTTGTCTTATTATATTTTATATTTATATTATTTTTTATACTTATATTTATAGACTTTCTTCCAAAGAAGAGCAACAGCAATGGACCGCTCATATATTACTATCGAAGATCATGGATGATAAGTCATCTAGTATCAATTGTGATATACAGCGTAATATTCAAGTACAATCTAATTATATGCAAGTAAAAAATGCCATAGAACTGTGCGACAATATATCAGATGATCTATTTAAGGTAATCTTTACTGATGTTACCTTGTTACTTTGTGTTAAATCTTATCTTTAAAGGAGACTTACTTTTTGTAGGAATTCACAATACTTTTCCAGGATACAAATGTAGAGTATAATGTAAAAGAATTTTCAAACGCGATATCCAAACGGATTTTTATATTCTTGGAGGAAAATATGCATTCTAATCCAAGAATTGCATATTGGATTATGAAGAAATTAATATCCATAGTTCTGTTAACAGGCAATATTGTCAGCAATTTAAAAGATATTTATTTTTGTACATTGAAATCATGCCTAGAACACATTCCGGTCAGAAAAAATTGGTATTCAAGTGAGATAGGTGAATCTTGTTCTCTGGAAACTGGAATTGATTTAGCTGATTGTAACAATTTCTTAAAAATTATTTTGTGCTTATTATCAAAAATGGATTTAGATGTAAACATAGAAATTGAGTTTTTGAGAACAGTTTATCCTGTGCTTTCAAAGGCATATCATGTTAAAGATATTGAGCTTGCACTATATTCGAAGGAGAATGAAAGATTGTTCAAAGAGTGGCTTTTACTTTGGAATGAAACACATGCATGTTTAGAAAGTGCCATTACTTTATCTACAGCATACAAAATCAGTAAAAGTATATTTAAATTTACAGAAAATTTTAAAATACTTTTGTGCCAACAAGAATTACTTAAAAGATTGAGTGCAAGAAAGTTGCATTGGCTAACTGATATTTTGGTAAGTCTTTTATTTCAAACAATTTTAATTGATCACTCTCAAAAATTTTTTATTTTTAATTGTACAATAAAATGAAAATTTAATATATATATTTTTTAAATAAAACATAACTTTTTATGCCAAAAATTATAATTATTCCATAAATGATCTTCAAATGACTCTGAAAAGCATCCTTCAAAAAAAAGTAATGCCATTTTCGGTCCCCCTTCAAAATCAAACAATTTTTGTTTGAAACATTTTGTTGTACAATCAAAAGTAAAAAAGTTTTCGAGGATGGTTGATCAAAATTGGACACCCTGTATATTAATGTGTGTTTTTTTAATAAGAAATTTAAATGTTGTAGGATATATGTTATATTTTAACTCTAAACAGAAAATATAAAGAAGTCAAATTGTTGCTTTCGTGTGATTTACTGAAGAAATTTTATCCAATTTTGTTATTGAAAGTATTAAATGATTCTCCGCAAGAAGAAATTAATTCACTTGAAAGTTTCAACAATGGTATTTTTTACTGTGAGTCCATCGAATTTCTTTTAGAAAAGTGTTACTACGATTTACACAGTGATTATGATTTAAATCAGTTGTATATCATCCTAAAAGACTGTATTAAAATTGTGAAATATGTTTTACATTGGAGAAGAGAACATTTCATAAGAACGAGATGTAATGTCAAGGAACTGAAGAGTTCACAGTCCGATATAATCGAACACATGATATCTGTGAGGCAGATTTTCGCTCTTCTACAAAAGCACAATGTGCTTTCCGTCCTGAGAACAACAACGAATATACACGATCAGGATCACGAGGCGATCAGGAATTTGCTGAAGAAATCTGGCAGTTTGCAATCTAATTTACAATTTGAAACCTTTCAAGCATATTGTTGCATAATCAGTGCCTTGAAGTCCATTTTGTTATCTGAATTTTATAACATGCAACACAAACAGATTGCTGGATACCTCAGCGACATGACGTCACACTTGTCCTCCTTGTATTCTTTGTCGTTGAGGATTCGAACAATGGAAAATATATTTTCCTTGTTATTTCTGCGTTATGAAAATTTCAATGTTGCGAATACTAATCCCAAAGATGACAATTGCGAATTAGAATGTGAGAAGTCAGGCTTTATAGCTAATAAATATATTATAAGAGACATGCTGCATTATCTGTGGAGCAGTACTTTAGTTACGACACAAGAAATCAATCAGCTGGGAAAACATGAATTGCTGCGTGAAGAGACGTATTTAGTACAACTTCGCAGAGATATATCCACCCTCACGTCAATGTTGACAGATGCCAGATGGAAATTGGAATTTTATACGAGATCTCATTTTATAGCAAATGTTGAGGTTTCACAGGATGAATCTGACAGTTCTACTATTACAAATAAATCAGAACACGTAATGTCTGAAAAATCAAGTTTTCCACACTGTGTTAAAGAAGACACGTTCTTTTATAAAGAGAATAGCACGTCGGATGAGACTAAAATTAAATCTGATAGCAGTTCAGAATCTGGCAATGCTAAACGCAGAAAACGTTCCAGACTTGCTACTGCAACGGCAGATTTTTTAGCAACAAAGGAGAGACCGTCCTTCGTAAATTTAATGCTGGCCTCGAAAGAAAACTTGATTTTACATTGCTTATGGAAAAGCGATTTTCAAAAGGCACGGGAAATTATTGAGGTAATATTACTTTGTTTAACAATTTATAACGTATACACAGTGTCCTATTTCAAATTTTAATTACAATAATATAGTCGAATATCTTTGAATCTATAACGAGAAAATATTCATAAAGAAATGTATAAACATTTTAAAAAAGGTTGATAATATCTTGAACTTTATTTTTTAATCATTTATATTTATATCATTAATATTTTAATTTTTTGAATTTTTTAGATTATTTTTTTGAAGGACAACCTAATTTTTTTAAATAAAATAACTCTAATTTTTAATAATAATAATTATAAAAATAAATTTAAATTTAAAATATCTTGTAAAATATTCATTTTTCAATGATTTTACTTCAATACTTTTATGCACAAAATAATGAGGTATTAATTGGTATAAAAAAAAATGTAGTAGTTTTTGTGAGGAATCGATTTATATCTCTCGAATCGATGAAATCTCTACTTTAAGAAACTTTCGTTCGATTTTGATTTCATTTCCTCTCTTTCCACCCCTTTGAAAAGTAAGGTGTTTTTTTTTTTTTTTTTTTTCCGAAAAATTAGAGCTATTTTATTTTTTAAAAAATTGAAAGAATTTTTAAGTGACTTTGAAAAATAACTTTAGTTAAAATTCAAGATTGTCGACTTCTTTCTCCGTCAGAACCAAACAACTTTTGTTCAAAATATTTTCTAAAACGCAACGTCTTTTTAATATACATGTATTTTAATATACATGTATTTTTAAATGTAATTTAAAAGTTGTTTGGTTCTGACGGAGAAAGAAGTCGACAATCTTGAATTTCAAATCGAAAAATTGCATTTTAAATTACATTTAAAAATATATATTGTTTTTAAATAACACGCATTTAATATCAAAATTTCGCGTAAATTCAAATAAGTGTATCTCCGCGAAAAATTATCGTATTTGAACAAATTTTTTTTTGTTTTAAAGGGTGAAATCTCTACTTTAAGAAACTTTCGTTCGATTTTGATTTCATTTTCTCTCTTTCCACCTCTTTGAAAAGTAAGGTGTTTTTTTTTTTTTTTTTTTTTCCCCCGAAAAATTGCAAAATTTTATGAACTCTACGGGGTGAAATAAATTTTTTTCGCAAATCTTATTCAAATTTTTGTAAAATATGGATTTTTTCTTACAAATTAAAACAAAAGCAAAGTTCGTACGATTTCTTTTCGCGAAGTTACGGCATATCAAAGTTATCCATATATTTTTCCATTTACCACCAGCATTAGCAATACCCGATGCGCACCAATGATGATTGCGCGACAAATTGCTAACGAAGATCTCTCACAGAATCAGTGATCAAACAATTTAGAAGACATTTACGTGAACGTGGTTTAAGATCGCGAGTTCGACATTTTTCTCCCCAAATGTATGGATCATACATTTTTTCCATGCATTAGAAGAACTTCGCGAAAAGAAATCGTACGAACTTTGCTTTTTTTTAATTTGTAGAAAAAAGTCCATATTTTATGAAAATTTAGATAAGATTTGCGAAAAACATTTATTTTACCCCGTAGAGTTCGTTAAATTTTGCAATTTTTTGAAAAAAAAAACCTTTTCAAAGGGATGGAGAGAGGGGGAGAGGATAAAATCAAAATTGAACGAAAGTTTCTTAAAGTAGAGACTTCACCTTTTAAAAAATAGTATATTAGCTAACAAGTGCGGGAGATCGTAAATCGGCCGAGAGTGTGGAAGTTTGGCGCACGAGGCGAAGCCGAGTGTGACAATCTGCACGATCGGCCGATTTATGACCCACACATATTGGCTACGATATTTTGTATGACCGGTGCGTGGAAAGGGCCCTTTCTAAAATCCCATCATGTGTGTAAAGGGCGACTTTTCGTGCGGCGGTTGCACAAAAATTGTTCAAATACGATCATTTTTTGCGGAGATACGCTTATTTAAATTTACGAAATTTTAATATTAATTGCGTGTTGCGATAATTTTTTTGACCAGTGTATATTTTTTTTCTCAGATATCTAAAAAAAATCTAAGTTTGTATAAATATCTGAGTAATTAATGGAGAAAAGGAGACACTTTTTTAAATTATAACACTAGTCAATAAAACAATATTGTGTGATTGTCGTATTTTGGGGATGTTGAATCCAAAATGACAATGCATTAATTGTGATTGAATCAGCTTATTTTATTTTTATGTTATTTTACTAGATACAACACTATTAAGTATATCAAATTTTTATACTCTTATATGATTTGACAGTTTCCATATAATTTGGGGACAGGTTACATCTGAAAATTACACTTTTGTATTTTTGATATTTTTCATGAAGAAAATCTAGAAAAATCTAAAAAATCGAGAAAAATAAATTTTATATTTACAAATAAGTTATCCTAAAATTGATCTAATATAATTGACAATGAAATCAGTAATGACCAGTGTTATTATTTATTATTATTATAATTATTATTTATATATTATTATTATTAAAATAAATCCTTTTATTAAACACTGACATTGAGTCTTCTGAGACTTCGAATTATTTTTACAATATCTTCCTTTAGATGTCGCGATTATTTAGTACTTATTTTTTTAGTACTTATTATTTAGTACTTACTTATTTTTCTAAACATAGAATAGCAAAGTTACCCTAAAATCAATCTAATATAATTAAAATACAAAGAAATCAGTGTTGACCAGTGTAATTGAATAACTGAGTAATAAAATTAGATAAAACTAAAAAAATTAACAAATATTAAATATTTATATATTTCTTATTGCAGTTTCGAATGTTTCATACTCATTGTACTCATATTCACTAGCTTCATATCTAGGTTCCTTCACATCTTTTTCCTTCTTTAGATCCTTCACGAAAACACCAGGTGGATTCATTGTATAATATTGTTTAGCGAATGTAATTCTTTTTCGTGGAAAACAAAATTTACAACGAAAACAACAGCAGCACCACCCTGAAGTATTGTTCATATTGTTTATACAGGATGTCCCATTTTAATGTCTCACCAAATAACTTTCATTTTTGATTGTAGAAGAAAATGTTTCAGACAAAAGTTGTATGATTTTGAGGGGGACATAAGATGATGCCACTAATTTGACCTTGAATAGTTGATTGACAGTCACGTGCAGGTCACCTTCAATTTCTTAAATGGAATTACCTATTTTTCATTGTATAATCTTGTAGCTTATCTCAAGAGTTTTCCAAAACTCTATAATAAAATATTTTTTCATTAAGTACTTTTTGAGTTATAAAGATTTGAAGTTTTTTGACATAAAATGTAAAATATCTTGTAAAATATTCAGTTTTCGGTGATCATATACTATGTCCCCCTTGAAACCAAACAACTTTTGTGTAAAACACTTCTTCTACAGTTAAAAATAAAAATTATTTAGGGTGGGACATTAAAATAAGACACCCCCTGCATAGCAATAATCTTTCCATGTAATATTTTTGAGAGAAGAAAACACTAGATATCCCAAGTAACAAACTGACGTCATTAAATGTCAAAATGACGTTATTAAATGTCAAAGTAATGTCAATTAAACGTCATTAAACGTCAAAATAATGTCATTAAACGTCAAAATGACGTATGCTTGTCATCTAATTGAGTTACCTCTTTGACACCAACAAGGGATTGCCAGGCAGATATAAATTAATAGCCAAACTTTGAGGATCAGCCACGTCCTGGACAAAATTCTGTTCACGTCCTTTGTGCGTTGATAATCGTACAAAAGACATTCTAATGCCTTGATGCTAATTTTACTCAGCACCTCCTTTGTACAATTCTTCAGTCTTTTCAGATTCGTTATTCTCTTCAGCTTTTCCTTCGGAATCTCTTCCAATTCTTCCTTCTCAGTGTAATTCAACACCTTCCCATGTTTCACGTTATATTCCAACTGCTGTTCGTACTCCAGCTTGAATTTCTCGTAATCGTAAGACTCTGCATCATCGGGACCTTCGGTATCTGCAAAAGTAGATCTTTCTTTCGAGATTAAAAATACTGAAATCTCCGAAGGAATATTTTGAAGATTTTCAATGTGTATTTTTTTGTGATATTTTCTGATCATATTATTCATACATGTCTACATATTCCGTATGTATCTCTTGCGTTTCCACAAAATATTCCGTTGTTTCTGCCTCCTCACTAATTGTAACATTTCTCATGATTTGGAAAAAATCCATCTCTTTATCCAATGTCGTCCCATAATGGTTCGCTATCTCTTCGCGTTTTACTCTAACACTTTTATATTTTTATCTATATTTAATAATAAAAAATATTCTTTATGTATACAGGATGTGCTGGATTTAAAAAATCCACGCATAAATATCTTTTGAAACAATGCATTTTAGACAAAAATTAAGATGGTACTATTTAAAAAATATAAATGACCTTGAAAATTTCCCTTTAGAAAAAGTCAGTAATTCTTAACTTTTGTCTGGAACATATTTTTTTCTAAAACGTATTGTTCAAGAGATATTTATGTAGATCTTTTAAAATGGAACACTGTGTGTATATATAGGGTCCTAGTTTAAAAATATATTTAATAAATATATATAAAATAAATAAAAATATATAAATCAATAAAATAACGTTTTAGGAAATAATAATTTATACAAAAGTTATTTGGTTTTGAAGAAAAAAGAACCTGATAATGTTGAATTTTAATTAAAATAATTTTTCAAGGTCATTTAAAGGTCAATTTAAATTTTTCTATGAAACCCGAATTTTCATATAAATCTATTCATCGCATATTCGGCATAAAAAGTTGTAAAGTTAAAAAATTATCAAAAGATGAATAGTTTATCAGATATTGTAAAATTTATATAAACATATGTAAATTAAAGTATGAAACATCTCGTAAACTGTTCACTTTTTAATTATCCTATGATTATCTTATCCCTAATTTTTATTTATATATAATATTAAATATTATAAGAAATGAATTTATTTTTAAAAAATTAGAATATAGTTCTATTAAATGAAAAATTAGGTTGACCTTCAAACAATCTTGAAAAATGACCTTAGATAAAATACTAAACTGTTAATTTTTTCCTTCTCAAAATTGAACAACTTTTGTCTAAAACACTAAAATACGATATTTTTTATATATTTAAGCATATATTTTTTAAAAATAGGATACTTTATATTTCTTTTGCCTTTATTTATTAATATAAGCGATTAATTTACGATTAATATAAGCATACACGTTAATTAAGAATACCTATAGTAACATTTCTGTAATACTGATAAAATCTTCCCAAATTCTGTGCGCTTTTCTCGTTGTTATAAAAACTTGTACGATTAATTGACGTTATATAGGCAAATGTTGTACGGTTTATAGTCTTAAGGAAAAAGAAGAAAAGTACTAAATTTTTAATTTAATTGAATTAATTTACTTAATTAAATTGCTTTAATTATTTTAATTGAATTAATTTAATTGATTTAATTATTTTAATTGAATTAATTAAATTGATTTAATTATTTTAATTAAATTAATTTATATCATTTAATTTAATTAATTTATATGATTTAATTTAATTAATTTAATTGATTTTAAGAAAAAATGTGTTTAAACCAGTGGGACACATTTACTTTATCCAAATCATGCTTAAAACCAGCAATAAACGGTTCATTTTCTTGCAAATTAAATATTTCCTTTGCATATGATGGTTGCAAAAACACATTATTGGAATATGGTTTTTCATCCTTGGCCTCGCGTTCGTTGTAATATTTTACATGAGAATGCAACGATCTGTATCTCTCTTCGTCTTCCTCAAGAGATTTCTTCAAATCCGCAAGATCCGCCGATTGAACCATTTCATTCTCGCTCTCTTCGTCATAATTCATTACGTCATCCAGCGCGATGTCGAAGACTTTTGCATCCTGTACATCAACCTACAATTTTATTTATAATTTTTAAATTAATTAAAATATTGGAATTTGCATTGCAAAAACATTTACTCCAATCAGATTTATTTAATTAATAATTAAATAATGTATTAACTGTATGAGAGAGTGCTTGCAGGATAAAAATCTTGATTAGAAGTAGAAACGCAGGTGTCCTTTTATGTAACATTTCAAACTTTTTATATTATTTTTTTCGCAAACTTATTATGTTATTATTACGTTTCCGCAGATGTTCCATATGGAAAATACGCAAGTGGACGGCGAGATTCGTTTCTTAGAAGCGTTTCACACGTTTAAGCAGAGTGTATCTAAATACATTCATATCTTAGACACAACAGCCTTGTCTAAAGAAAGTTCAGGAACTTCCACATTAGAGGTAAAATTCTAAAATATATATAATTTTACTGACACCTCACAATCGGTACTAGTTTTACACAGGATGTCCTATTTTAATTAATAATTTTTGTATTAATAATCAATTTTAATTAATAGTCAAATATCATTTATTTCATTCAAAAGAAGTTAAAAATTTTGGAGGAAATGATGATAATTTTGAATTTTAACCGATCATTTTTCAAGGTCATTTGAAGGTCAACCTAGTTTTTAAATAGATTTACCCTAATTTTTTTATGTAAATAATTTTTTCGTAGTATCTTTTACAGAAAAAGTTATAAGAGCAGGACGGGCAAAAAGTAAATATTTTATGAGATATTTTATAGTTTATGTAAAATCATTAAAATATAAAATATCTCGTAAACTATTCACTCTTTAGCCATTCTATTTTTATAACTTTTTTTGCTAAATATTACGAGGAATTGATTATAAAATTAAGGTAGTTCTATTTAAAAAAAATACATAAATGACCTTCAAATTACCTTGAAAATCGCTATTCAAGAAAAAGTCAGTAGCGCCAACTCTTTTCGCCTTATAATTTTTATTAAAACTTTTTTTCTATATTTATATAAAAAATAGCCTTACTTAAATGACTATAATTAAAGTTCGAGATTATTATTAACTTTTTTCCCCTCGAAACCTTTTAACTTTTATATGAAATATTTTCTCATTTCAGCCATAGTTTCAGCAATATTTGACTATATTAATAAAATAGGACACTATAAAAATAATGTTATAATAATAATAATATAATAATAATAATAAATATCACGCTATTTGCAGAATATAAGATTGATTACGCAAGAAGCTGTGCAATCTTCGAAGCACATCAAACAGCTGGAAACATTTCTGGCATCCCAGGAGCTCTATTTGCGAATGTTAAATACGGATATTCTAAGCAGTAACAAATGTTAACTTTCAGCGTGCTCGACTTGAGTTTAACGATTGGCGAGACCTATCAGATCTCGAGCAATCTCTGTGACATAGCCATGAAATATTTAAAGTCGCACGAAACATTTGACAATTTTATAGAATACGCGAATTTCTTTTTAAAGATTTACCATTTGTTTTACGATAGTAAGAACAATCTATCCGTGACAAATATACTGTGTGACGCCAAAATTCCGTTGCATGTGAAGGAATGGAAGGAGAGAAACGCGATTTGGAGTGAATTTAAGAATAATTATTCCTCATTTTGCGATCTCGAGAGAACGGAGACGCGATCAAACGAAGATAATAATTACGTTCTGGGACTAAAGACGATAAAAAAGATATCTGATATTTTTAATAGCGATAACAATTTTTTCAAAGTATCCATTCTTATCTACAGCTTGTATGCACTATTATTCCAGACATCGGTGAGTTTGCGTTTCTATTTTTTATTTTAGATTAATTTTTATTCCCCAGGTAGCAGACTGACATCATTTTGACGTTTAAAAACATCATTTTGACGTTTAATGACATTAGTCTGCTATGTAGGTTTATTGAACCACAATCCTTTCTTTCTTTAAAAAAGGAATGTTAGTTGATTCTCGAATGTATCGGTTTATCTCGAAACCTCGAAGTAGTGTTGCCTCTTTTCCGCGATGCCGATTGATTCTGTCACAACGTTTACTTCGTGAATGACTATCATTGCATATTTTGACAGTTGTATGTATCGAGGGGTTAGTGTAGTGATAGTAACGTATATTAAAAAGGATTAAGTGTATATAATAGTTAAAATCTGATAAATAATTTTATTTAAAATATCATATTTATATTATTATTAATATTAATAGCCGATAAAAATTTTCTTATCTGATAAATAATTGTTTATTAATTTTGTGATTGAGTGGTTTCGACTACAGTTTTTTAGTTAGAAAGGGAAATAGAAATTCGGTGAATTCAAATTATGTATATATAGAAATTCAGTTAATTTATAATTCTTGAATTTCCATTATGTACATAATGGAAATTCAAGAATTAAAATTACGTACATAATAGAAATGCAACGAATTAAAATTATGTACCTATATATATATATATAAATTCAGCAAATATCTATTATATATAATAGCAAATTTTTATGGCAGAAAGTTTCTATTATATGTATATAACAGAAATTCAGCAAATTTCTATTATATACATAATTTTAATTCGTTGAATTTTTATTTTATACATGAAATTAATTCTCCATTTTTATTATTTACATAATTTTTATTCGCATTTCTATTATGTATTTAATTTTGATTTGCCGAATTTATATTATGCACATAATTTTAATTTTTGAATGTCTATTATACAATATGTACTTGATTTCGATTCGCCGAATTTATATTATGTGCATAATTATTATTCCTAAATTTCTACTATATACAGGGTGTCCCATTTTAATGTTCCACCCCAAATTTTATTTTTGATTGTAGAAAAAAATGTTTCAGACAAAAGTTGTATGGTTTCGAGGAGGACATACGGTGGTGCCATTAGTTTGACCTTGAATAGTTGCTTAAGGGTCATGTGAAGGTCATCTTTAATTTCTTAAATGGAATCACCTACTTTTTATTACATATTCTTGTAGCTGAAATCGAGAGCTTTCCAAAACACTATGATGAAACATTTTTATCTAAGTACTTTTTGAGTTATAAGACAAGATCTCCTCACCTCAAGGTGATCTTTACGTGACCTTCAAGCAACTATTCAAGGTCAAACTAATGGCACCACCTTATGTCTTCCTCGAAACCATACAATTTTTGTCTGAAACATTTTTTTCTACAATTAAAAATAAAAAACTTATTTGGAGTGGGACATTAAAATGGGACAATTTGTATACTATATGTAATTTCAATTCTCGAATTTCTATTATATAGATAGTTAGATAGAAGCTTTATTCTCCCCCTTGATGATTGAAGGCTCTTTTTAGAGGAGCGTTCCCAAACCGTTTACACACCGTGAATTTCTATTATATATATAATTTTAATTCGCCGAATTTCTATTATATACATAATTTTAATTCGTCGAATTTTTATTATACATAATTCTATTATACATAATTTCCATTGTACATAATTTTAATGCTTGAATGTATAATCTTTTTTAATAATTTTAATTCGCTGAATTTCTATTATGTACCTAATTTTATTCTTGAATTTTCATTGTGAATATAATTTTAATTCTTGAATTTCCATTATATTTTAAATTTTGATTCACCGAATTTCTACTATGTACAATATATAATATAAGTATTTTTGAATTTCTATTATGTTATAATAAATTTTTACAATTTAAAATAAAGGTTTTTGAGGGTGGTTGATTAAAATTGAACATCTTGTATATTTTCAATTTTATAAAATTAGATAATTAAGCGTGCGCTAAACAAACTTTTTCTCCGCGAATGTACATACATAATTTTAATTCGCCGAATTTCTATTATGTACATAATTTCAATTAGCCGAATTTCTATTAGGTACAATTACAGTTATTTATATAATATGTAGAAATAGGGTAAAAATTAAACTTATGTATATAATAGAAAAAATTAAACTTATGTGTATAATAGAAATTCAAGAATTAAAATTATGTACATAATGGAAAATAAAAAATTAAAATTATTTACATAAAAGAAATACGGCGAATTAAAATTATATTTGTAATAGAAATTAGGCGAATTAAAATTTATATAAATTTGATAATTAAAGTTATGTACATAATTGAAATTCGGCAAATTAAAATTATGTATGTACACTCGCGGAGAAAAAGTTTGTTTAGCGCATGCGAAGCGCGCGCTTAATTATCTAATTTTATAAAATTGAAAATATACAAGATGTTCAATTTTAATCGACCACCCTCAAAAACCTTTATTTTTAATTGTAAAAATTTTTTGAACAAAAGTTGTTTGATTTAAAATTAGACATCCTATATGTTGTTTCATATAATATATATAATTATTAACTCTCTTATTGTATACTAATTTGTTATTATGTTTTTAGACGACGTTAACATAGTGACGGTGTTTGATTTATTGAAAACACCGTTATATCATTATTTTGGATATCAGATATTCGACTTGAAGATAGAACCAGATAAGCTTGAAGCAGTCGCTTCTAATTTACAAGTGAACTTAATATACAGTATTCTTGTAAATTCATGTCCGAAGGTTTCCTATCATAATAAAAAAAATTATTATAATAATAACATCAAGGATTCTGGATGCATCATACTGAATCAAAACGAGAAGAATCGATATGTGAAATATACAGGGTGATTTATTTTAATCTCGATATTTTTTTACCATTCTGTTCTTTTTATATCGAATTTATACTTCGAAGAATCGATTTGTATAAAAAATTAGAATAATTTCATGAAAAAAATTAGATTGACCTTAATCTGATCTTTGCTTGACTTTGATCTGACCTTTGCTTGACCTTAATCTAACCTTGACTTGAAGTAGACAAGATTAAATCAGGGTCGCCTCTTCTTTACAATATACAACTTTTATTCAGCTTCTTTCTTTTTGCTTAAAATCGTTAAGATAAAAATAAATCATTCTGCATATATATAATTGTTTTTAAATCACTAATACTACCCTTGTAGAAATTTATCACTAGTAACGCCAATTAATCTCACTTATTTCCAGTACTTAAAATATTGATATACAGTAATTTAAGTACTCGAAATAAGTGATTAAGTACTCAAAATAAGTGATGAATTGGCGTTACTAGTGATAAATTTCTATAAGGGTACTACTATAGTGTACACAGTATAGTTACACTAATATAGTGTAATTCGAAATTACTATTTTTTTACAGAATGCAAAAATCGTCACGGAGCCAAACCGATGCATTTCAGAGATACTGGCGGAGCTTTTGCAAGCTCTTCATGACGCAAGCTCGGGACAATGTCACCTGGACAATTCGTCCTTGAGAAATATTTCCGATCATCCGAACGTGCGGACGGCGCTGAACAGGACGTCAAGCCTTGCCGATCTCGATCTCAGCGAATTGTCCGTGGGCGACGAAACGTTGACGTTCTTCATGAACGTTTGGAATGTCATGTTCCTTCATGCTAATCTAGACGTATGGTCGAAGAATGATCCTCCGCCTCTCGACGGCTTGAGACGTACCGTCTCTCTGATGTCGATCGGCTACATAATCGGTGATTTGGGTCTGGTGACCCTCGCCTCTCTCAGATCAAAGTTATTGGGTATCAATCAATCGGCCGATGCCGCGAAATTCTTCACCCCGGTCGAAGAACTCAACGAACTGGCCTGGCAGGACTTGGATCTCGTGCAGAATCCGAGAGTCATCTTCGCTTTAGCTAACGAGTTCTATGGTACACCTGAAATTCGTGTAAGCTTCGATTAATTATGTCTACTCCTGAGAAAAATCGGGAATTGTTAAGGATTTTTTTTTTTACTTTTAAAGGTTTTGAACATTTTGTTCTTTTTATATTGAATTTATTATACTGCGAGGAATCGATTTATATAAAAAATTTGATCCGACTTTGGTTTGACTTTGACTTGACCTTTGACTTAAGTAGATATATCGAATTTATTATACGAGGAATCGATTTATATAAAAAATTAAATTGACCTTGATTGACATTGACTTGATCTTCACCTGACCTTTGACTTAAGTAGACATCACAAAAGGCCAAAGCAAGGTCATCGTTATACGTCCCTCAGCTACAATATATAACTTTTATTCGGAAAGTCTTTGTGAAAATCTGTTGAAGTCTTTTTTATTTTAAATTGCAGATATACGAGGCTGAGAAGTTGGACGAAAACTTAAACGATGCAATGCGCGATTATATCTCTCATTACTTGCCAGCTGTGTTATCTGATGATGATGATGATGATGATGATGATGATGATGATGATGATGATGATGATGATGATGATGATGATGATGATGATGATGATGATGATGATGATGATGATGATGATGATGATGATGATGATGATGATGATGATGCTGATGCTGATCATTATAATAATGATGATGATGATGATGCTGATCATTATAATAATGATGATGATGATGACAATAATTCTATTTCAAGGAGACGAAAAATCAGCTTTATCGATCTTGTGCAGCAACATTATCAAATCAATTTTGCGCAAAATATTGACATTAGTGCCAAGAAGATACATGGATTTGAAACATTAAACGAGAATACAAATTATATTGCATGCGATTGTACGTACGAAGTAACACTAAAATATTGCAAACATGATATATCCAGGATCAGAGTTACGAATACCACGGAAATGTCTCTTTGGCAAATTCGAAAACTCAGATCCAGCTTACTACAATATCTGGAACGCCATTGCTGGCTCCTCTCTTATCTCATACAGAGGATACATAACAAAAACTCGACCAGCTTGGAGAACTACGACAACGTAGAGCGCACCGTGTGTCTGGAGAACTTTTTGAACTCTTCGTGGCTCGATAAATTAAAATTATTATTCGGCAACAATGCAACTCTGACCGCGATTCACGATGGCGTGCCACCTGTTCATGAACTGTGGCGTCACTTCGAGCAAAGGGGAGAAGATAACATGACAAATTCCTTGGAGATCTTGGACGCTCTGGCTGACAGCGTCGTAAAGCACGATACGGAACTGCAACGCTTCAAGGATTTAATTCTAAGTCACGTCCTCTCCAATTTGGACCCTTTAGCTGTCACCAAAATGTCCCGATACCTGTATCAGATCAATGACATACGTACACTGGTGCGGACGACTTTGCACAACGTCAACAGGTGGCCGATGACCATGTGTGAGAATGCATTACATCACGCGTTACAGCACGAGCACAGTTACAAGCTGCCGGCCTACTGCAAGCGTCGAATAAACAGTATCCTGCGTAGAATCACAATCTTCCATAAGATGATTCCGTATTGCGCGAGCAATCGATCTGGCAACAGTACCTGGTACGATATCGCGTACTGCACGGAAAAAATTAGCTCTCTCGAAATCATCGAATCCTTGATCTACGCTGATCAGTACGATCTAGGCTTGGAGTGGCTTGAATGTCAAGCCTTCACCTTGAAGATGCAACCCCCCATGATACAAGATTTCTTCATAGGCCTCTTGAAGAACCAGCAGCAAGACTTTCAGCAAGCTTTAAAGGTACGCGACAGTTTGACTTACAACTCAAGTAGCAAACTGACATCATTAAACGTCAAAATGACATCATTGTGACGTCTAATGATGTCATTTGACATCAAAACGACGTACATTTTTCAAATAGCAAACTGACGTCATTAAACGTCAAAATAACGTCATAATGACACTATTAGACGTCAAAATGACGTCATTAGACGTCAAAATGACGTATGCTTGCTACTTGGGTTGCTACTTCTCAAGTAGAACAGAAAATCAAAATAATATCATTTTGATGTCATTGATCAAATTTGAACTCCAAATATTTTGATTTTCTGTTTTACTTAGGTTGGGAAAAAAACTCCCAAGTAGCAAACTGACGTCATTTTGACTCTAATGACGTCAGTGTGCTACTTAAGCTGTACCTTTATAACAATATTTTTTATTGACGTTTCAAAATAATGAATAACTACTAAATATTTTAGTTTCTTCGAATATTGCCGTCGAGTCAATCGGTGAAGATATGCAGAGAAATTCTGAAAAAGCTGGAATCCATTAACGCATTGCAGTTTGTCATCAATTATTTGTTAGAACACTGCAGAGCGGCGGATCGAGCTAAATATGAGAAGATTTTAACGGGGCTGGAAATTTTGAAGATGTTGGAGATAAAAGACAGAATCCTGTACATTCATTTGATAAAGGAACCGTTACTGATACTGGAACAATTATTGATGAATTGTAAAATTGAGAGTATTCAAAAGATTCTGAATATGTTACATGGAAGTTTGCAACATTCCAATATAGGTATCGGTAATTTTGACAAAATCATCAGATTTTATGCCAGAAAATCACTGGATTTTCGTGTATCCGTCCAACGTGATGGTGTCATCGAGAGTAAAGCTAAAAATATTCCACAAGCCAATCTGAAAGCTGAAACTAATGAATTTATTATGCCAGTCAATGTGCCTACAAAAGAGGAATGGGTACCTAATGATAAGGTAATAATTCTCAAAAGCGTGCGGTAAACTTAGCTGATTCTTTCATATGTTGTAGCTTATAATCTGCTAAACGAAAAATGTAATAGGCTCAAAGCTCAAAATAATAGACAATTACTAATTAATAGTCAGTTAGCGTTTAATAGTATTATAATAGCTGTTTAATAGCGTTTTTTCTTTTCTATATAGGCAAGAGAATGCAGTTGCTGCAGAGCTGTCATATTTTCCATGTTCAACAGACGACACCACTGCAGACGATGCGGCCGCGTTGTTTGCGCCGTGTGCTCTCAGCATCGCATGCAGGTCGCCGGCTACCCAAACACCGTGTTCGTACGAGTGTGCGACGATTGCAAGCGTCAAACAGTGTTGCAGATGCGCACGATGCAAAGTGCCTCGTCGACGACTAATAGCGAAACGTTCGACGGTTGGCGATTGACCAGGGATGAGAGGCACAATCGCGCCATAAGGGAGGAGTTCTCCTTCGAGTACGCCCCGAATATCTCGTTGTGCCTGGCTATCCTTAATTTGCACTCCGATCACAAGATGTACACCAGGTATAGTACATTTGGCAAAGAATAATTACTATAATCCTATGAACAAAGACTGCAATTCATGTACATAAGAATTACCGAATGTTCTTTTTGACTGTGACAGATTGAAGATAAAATGAAGTTGAAAAAATTCTTCTCTATTTAATTTGAATCCTTTGGAACCATCTTCAGCAGATCAGTTAGTAAAAATCACGTCTCTTGATCCACGTTTCCTGATCAAAAGACGAAAAGAATGAACAACAAAGAATGAACGTCCTGTTTTTAGCAATATAAAACTGGTCTAGATAAAAGACTGAAAAGGTTCAAGAAGGTTTGAAATGGTTCAAAAAAGTTTGAAATAATTTAAAAAGATCCAAAATGGTTCGAAAAGGTTTATAATAGTTTGAAATGATTCGAAAGGGTTTTTAATTGTTCAGAAAAGTTCAAAATAGTTCGACAAAGTTCTAAAAGGTTCAGAATGATTTGCAAAGGTTCGAAATGGTTTGAAAAGGTTTAAAATTAAATGGAAAAGAATTTAAAAACAAGTTTGTCACGTCTAGCTCTTCTGATTAGGCCATTTCTTACCTTGAAAATAAAAGGATTGATCGATTTTTGTTCATATGTAGTTTCTTACTGGATCGTTGTGACGAGATGAAGCGGCTGCTTTTACCCGTCAGCGGTGGCAGGATAAATCCCGAGGTCGATCACGCTCTAATCATCAAGATGATACGTTCTCTCTTGATCGCGGCCAAGGTGAAGTGCGCAAAACTCGGCTTCAACACCGGTCTCACGCATTGCGATCGATTCCTTTCGCAAGTGGACCTCATCGCAACTCTAGTCCAGTCCGATTGCCTGACCCTGATACCGACGAGCGATCTAGACGAGCACACGTTGAGAAAGTTGCGCGATCTTCTCACGGAGAAAGAACAATGGACACTGGCATTGAACGTCAGTACGAAAGCGGGACTGGACACGCAGGGAGTTTGGGCAGCCTGGGGCAAGGCTTGTCTGAAAGTGGGACATCTAGATCAGGCGAGGGAGAAGTTTCATCACTGCCTCGACAAAATCGCGTACGAGACTTTGGACGAGGACTGGGTCGTGTTAGCTTCTTCCAAAGAGTTGGCGGATGGTACGACCGTTCAGCTGAAGAGAAACGAAGTCGCAGAAGAGGGTGACGGTTCTGGGAAGAGAAGGAAAGAATACTCCAAGTGTCGGCCCGCGAAGGATCCACCGTTGTTGACGGAACTTCTGCAGATATTGGACAACTTGAATGTACATAGATTCCGAATACAGCAGTCCACGCCCCAATCTATGCCCGCCAATACGAGCCAAGAGATCTTTCACACGCTGAACAATCTCAAAGCTCTCAGCCAAAATCAATTTAATACGAAACACTTGGCGCCTGCCAATCTGACGGTGCACTATCAGGAAAGTTTGTATTATCTGTTGACGTATGGAAGCTACGGCTCGATTTTGCAATTTTTTCTGAAGCATCAGGAGTTCGACGAATGCCTGGCGTATATCTTGGAGAACGATTTGGAATGCGATTTATTTCTCAACGAGGTTTATTTATATTGTTTGAAGAACGGCGAGTCCGATAAGCTTCACGAAGCGATGAAGGCGAAGGATCCCACTTTGGTGATATGGAAGAAGTATTTGATATTCACTTGTCATTTCATGGAAAGGAAGCAATACTGGCATATTTTGTATCAGATTCAACTCTTCATGAAGGACCGCGTGAGAGCATCGATGACGTGTATCCATCTTTACACCAGCGAGGTGAATTCATATTTAGACTTGCACAACAGGATACATCTGTTACAAGATGCTCAGAAGCATTTGGAGTCTGAATTGCAACTTGAAAGTTTGGGCAAGAGGAGAAAAAGCTCCGTTCGCAGCGGCCAAAGTATCCTGACGATGGAGATGGAACCGTCGGAGATAGATAGACACATAAACACTATATGCAGACAAATGGAGATCACGAAATTTCTAGCAAATTGCGAGAGAGAGGACAGAGCTCCGATGGAATTTTTAAACCTCTTCCCGAACATCGACAGCGATGAATCTCAGACATTTCAACTGCCTACGTTGTTTGGCAATCAGCAAGAGAAGATCCATTTAGCTGTTTTAGCTATATTGTGCGGTCGTGATATTGAAGAAGGATTCGGTATAGCTTTCAGGATAATACAAGGTAGCAATATAATATCAAAACAATATAATAAAAATAATTTATTCCTTACGAAGAAGATGACACTACTAACTTTATCCAAAGAACGCTTTTCAAGATTATTTGAAGATCTTTTTTATGAAACTATTATATTTTTTTTATATAAATTGATACCTCAAATATTTTATGGGATATTTCATATTTTATGTATTTTAGTGCCAAATTAAAGTATAAAATATCTCATAAACTATTCATTTTTTAAGTACGTACTGATGTCATTTTGACATCTAATGACATCAATTTGCTACTTGGAGTGTTACCCTTATAAATTTTTATGCCAAAAATCACAAAAATTTATTTATGTAAAAAAATTATAGCAATTCTATTTACAAAACATAAATGACCTTGAAAAACGCTCTTTGGGGAAAAAGTAACGTCTTCTTTGGTCGATTGTTATATATTGGATGTGTATTTAATATATATTATATTTTTTCACAGATTATAATCTTCCACAACAAAAGATGTACTCTCTGGCTGGCCACGTATTAGCTTTAAAGAATGACGTATCCGCGATCGAGCAATTGATCAAATGCTGTCGCAGTTCTGGAGTGCCTAATGCACACGTGATTTCCGATCATGTTTTGACACATTGTATGAAATTATTGTCGAATCATTTGTACAATGAGCAGAATCCGAGTCTAAAGAGTCGTATAGATACTTTAATTGAATTGGTAATCGACACAACGCTTAGGGTAAGATTTATTTTATTATTATTCAATATATCCGTTTATTGTTGTATATGTTATAAAAGAAATTTTGTTCTTTTTTCTTTTAGATAAATGCTTACATTGAAAGCAAGCAACTGAAGGCTGCGTATCTTCTTGCTGTTAAACATTCTCGAGAGCAAGATATAAAAAGAATCCTGAAAGAATCAGATAGACTTGGCCAAAATACAATTAAAGCAATATGCCTTAAATGGTTACAACAGAAACCAAAGAAATAAGCTTCCAAATCTATATATATTTTGAAAAAAAAAATTAAGAATGAAACAATGTATATAACTTTAAGACTGGGATAGAGAAGAATTATTCATTAAAATATTTTATAAATAATATTTATAAAGTTCTTGAATTTTTCTGAAAATATAATGTTTAAGAATTACAATATATATATATATATAGCCATTTTAATCAACGCACGTAAATATCTCGCATAGTAAGCAAGATGGAAAAAAATATTTCGAACAAAAGTTTTTTGACTATGAGGGGAACATAAAATGGTGTTATTGATTTGATCTTGTATAATCATTTAAAAGTCATGTGAAGATCACCTTCAATTTCTAAAATGGAACCTGCTATTTTTCATTACATATTCTTATAGATTATCTAAAGATCTTTCCAAAATCCTATAATAAAGTGTTCTTTGATGAAGTACTTTTCAAATTATAAAAGTTTAAAGGAGGATGTTAAAAAAGGTCGATTCCCGACTATCGATGGAACCTAAAATTCGAATTCCATGAGTATCTATGAACCATATAAGATGTAAAAATGATGGTCTTTTTCCTAGAGACCTGGAGAAAGTATTAAAAATCTATCAAAGCTATTGAAAATAGCGTCATTCGATCGATCTGAAGACAACTATAAAATCGATGACATGGATGAACTTTCAATCAAACCAAGTTCTAGTTAAGCACTTATTAAATAGTTTTCGAGATCAGTAATGTTTTAATCAGGGCGTCGATTGTGTAACTTTTTCTAAAGTAAAAATGTGAAAAGTGAAAAATTTCTTCCAATCACGCATTGATTTTAAAAGAAAATTGATGTGTGATTGGAAGAAATTTTTCACTTTTCACATTTTCACTTTAGAAAAAATTACACAATTGACCCCCTGGGTTGGGAAGTAACGAGTTACTTGTAACAAAGTTACAGTTACAGTTACTTTTTTTCGGTAACTATAACTTAAGGGTCGACAGGTCGGCCGGCCAAACTCCGAATTGATGTTGGAGACCTCGCGCGGTGACAACGCGAAACTCCGATTTCAGTGTTGCCAACGCCGAGAAACCAATTCTCGGGTTTTATGTAGTGGTGCATGTCTGTACACGTACATACACTATTGCATTGCTCACGCGGACGCACCGTAGAGAGACAAGGACCGATAATTACGTGTTCTCCTTGTTCCTCTATCGTGCCGGTATTCGCGAGATACGGCCTGAAAATGCTTTCTGGCCTTCCGTAGCAGAAGGCAGTAGCGTAGCAAGGCTAATAAGTACCTACTTTTTGTAAATTTTATATATGCTTATGCACATATGTGCGTATATATATATATATATATATATATATATATATATATATATTATATAAGGGATATGTTGATTATTCTTGATTTCTTTTTGATTATTGATGCTATTGTATCATTTGCTCCAAATACTTATAACGTGAAAGAACGTTGAGTAATGTATAATCAATGCAAGGATGTTCAGTATATCATCCAGTAAATTAGAGTTCAAATATTTCAATATCAATTTTTTTATAATATATATATATATATATATATATATATATATATATATATTAAAATATAGAAAAATGATAAAAAAATATATTTCGGCGATTTAAAAATTTTTTAATATATTGAAAATATTTTTACTACATACACTATATATATAAGTGTAAAATAATTCAGAAAATAAATTTAAAATAAATTTAATAAAAATCTACATACCAGCTGTGTGCATGTGTGCAATTGATTTATTACTTGAAATTTATTTACGGAATTATTTTGCATTTATATATTTATAGTGTGTGTAGTTGTAAATTGTAAAATATGATTAAAATATTTTCAATATCAAATTTTTAAGTTTATCGCCTATATACAAATATATTTCTATGATTTTTCATATTCCAATATATTATAAAAAAATTGATATTGATATATTTGAACTCAAGTTTTTTACGTGATTAAATATTCTTGCATTGAGCCATCATACGTTACTCGTAAGTTCTTTCACGTCATAAGTTATTATGTAGCAGAGAGAAAGAAATGAGAGTTATACAATGTAACATCAATAATCGGAAAAAATCAAGATAACGGTTGTCATATCTGTGTATATATATATATATATATATATATATATATATATATATATGTATATATATAAACTTATATATTATATATATATAATATTTCATTTATTTATAAAATACATTTTCAATTCATATTCAACCTGAATGATATTTTCTATATGCTTATGCTATCCTCCGATCTATCCCTAACAAATTAGGAAGTGTAATTGCATTATTATCATCAATTATTATCTTATACTTTTTACCTCTAATTTCTATAAAATTTAATTCATTATCACATTTTATCCTTTAAATCAATATTTATTTTGAATTTTCATTAATATTTTTATTCTATTAACATGAGCAGGAGCTCAACCTATTGAAATACCTTTTATCATTATTAGACAAATTTTATCATTATGTTACTTTCTTTATTTTATCTTATTACCTTTCCTAATAAAAATTTGAGATTTAATTATTTTTAAATAAATATTAAAAAATTTATCATTATAAATAAATTTAAAATATTAAAAATAATTATATTTAATACTTAAATTTTTTATAAATTACTATTAAATTAAGGTAATGATCTTGAATTTAAGTTTATGTTTTGAAAACATATTAAAGAAATTTTAATTTTTTATTAACTTTTAAACATTTAATTTTTTTTACTAAATTATTATTTATAATATAAATTTAAATCCAAAAATTAATAAAATATAAACTAAAATTATTGGTAAAATAATTTTCCAACATAAATATATTAATTCATCATATCGTATTCGAGGAAGTATTCCATGTATAAAAATTACTATTCTACATAAAATATTAATTAAAATAAAAGTTAAAATTATTGAATATTTTAATAAATTTCTAAATATATAAATTCTAATTAATCTAAAAAAAATAATTATTCGATATTCAGATAAAAAAATTAATGTAAACCCACCCCTAAAATATTCAATATTAAACCCTGAAACTAATTCTGACTCACCTTCGATAAAATCTATAGGACTTCGATTTAATTCAGCTAAAATCCTAATAAAAAATATAATAAACAAAGGATATAAAACTACTATATATCATAAATAAAATTGATAATTAATAAAATCAAAAAAAGAATATCTCTCTCTTATTAATATAATAACTAAAACAATTAAAATAAATCTTACTTTAAATGATAATATTTGTGAAACTGATCGTATTGCCCCTATTTTTGAATAAATCGAATTAGCTGATCATCCCATAAAAATTATAACATACCCTCTAATAGTTATAAAACAATTATTAATAAAATAGAATAATTTAAAAAATAAATATTAGTAATGTAAGGAAATACTAATCATATTATTATTAAAACAAATCTAATTATAGGACATAAAAAAATTATAATTAGATTTATATACATAAAATAATTCTTTATTAAGTAATTTAATAGCATCACTAAAAGATTGAAATAATCTTATAAATCCCACCTTATTAGGTTCTTTACGAATTTGTACATATCTTAAAATTTTTTGTTCCAATAAAGTTAAAAAAGCTACCCCAACTAATATAATTAATAACAAAATTAACAATCTTAATATATTTAACGCACTATAAAAATATAATCTTAAATTTTGACAAATTATTACTTGTATAATTTTTTTCTATTATACATCATTTAAATTCTAAATTTAATACACTTAAATTCTGCCAAAGTAATTTTATTTATTTACATATATTTAATCAATTAAATTTATTCATTAAAAAAAATATAATTTGAAAAAAAGTCCTTTCGTACAAAATTTTCTTAATTTTATTATAGATAGAAACCGATCTGGCTTACACCGATCTGAACTCAAATCATGTAAAATTTTATTAGTCGAACAGACTAAAATATTAAACTTCTTCATTTAATTTTTATTTTAATTCAACATCAAGGTCGCAATCATTTTTATTAATATAATCTTTCTAAAAATATTACGCTGTTATCCCTAAGGTAATTAATTTTTATAATAATTATTATAAAAAAAAAAAATTTTCTTAATTTAATAATCAATCCTTTATAAAAATTTCATTAATTAATGTTAAAATTATCTTTAAATTAAAGTTTATTTTATTTAATTATCCTCCCAATAAAATATAATCATTAAAATAAAATTTATTTCCTTAAATAAATTTAAAAATTATATTAAATTCAATAGGGTTTTCTCATCCCATAATTTCTTTTAAGAATTTTAACTTAAAATTTAAATTTTAAATCTACAAATTGAAACAGCTTTAATTTCATCAATTCCTTCATTCCAGTTTTCATTTAAAAAACAATTGATTATGCTACCTTTGCACAGTCAATATACTGCGGCTATTTAAAAATCACTGAGCAGAAATAATTTTAAATTATCAAAAAACCATGTTTTTGTTAAACAAGTAAATTAAAATTTTAATTTAATAAAATAAATTTGCCTAATTCTTTAATTATATACATATATATTTTAAATTTAAAAATTTCTATATAATTAATATAAATATACTTATACTATCATTATTTATTAAAATACTTAATTTATTTAAAATATTTTTTTATTTAATTAAATCAAATTTTCAAATTATTATTATATTTAAATTAGAATAATCCATTCCATAATAAATTATTAAATTTTTATAAAAAATTTTTAAAAATAAAAAATATTTTTCTATTTAAATCATTTATATTCATAAAATATTTTAATTATAATTTATAGTTAATCCCATAAATTTTTTACATAAATTTACTAATTAAATTTTATTATTAATTTAATTAATTGTAAATGATTTATATATAAATTAAATTTATATAAAAAAAACTAGATATCATAAAAGTGGATTAAAATATCTTTTTCAAATAAATATTTAAAATAATTTTTATACATTAACTTTAATATTTTATTTAACTCATTTTATTCCGAGAAATTTAAATTATTCCAATAAACAACAAAATTTAATAATCCCTGATACAAAAGGTACAATTAATAAAATTTACTTTTATTTAATTAATTAATTTATTTTAAATTTTCATTTACATTACTTATAT